TTGCACTAAAAGATTAACTATATCTGTTATTTTTAAGAGAGTGTTTTGAGTATGACTTAGAAGATTCACCTCTTCAAAGAATTTAGTCATCAAAAGTGTATTGTGGTGTGTTTTGTTGGTTTTTTTTAATTGGCTGTTGTGTAGTTAAATGCCTTTTAAAAACCTGTAGGTTTTTTAGTTCCAGATTTTTTCTAGTTGCAGAATGATTTTTACAAAGGGAGCCTTGTAGCACATAGAAAGGAACAAGGATGAGGGATCCCAAGTCAGATGTCGGAGAAAGTTTTGTGAGAGAAAAGGGCTCTTTCTTCCTGCATCAGGTTTTAGTGTGCTTGAGAAGAAAGAGAAAGACATTGAGATTACTTCTGCAAGTAAAATGGCACATTTAACTGTGTACAGGGTTGAATGTGGGCAGCTGAAACTATTTTTACAGATTCCTGTAGTGGTACCGGATTTTTGCAATATAACCCAACTCTAGTAGCTGAAACCAAACTATTGATTTTAGCAGCAAACTAGTAATTTTGGCAGAAGCAGCCACCTGATGTGCTTATCCTAAAGATTCATTTCCATGCTCGGACGTCTCCCAGAAATCTTGTGCAGCTCATTGTCATAATTCTGAATACGTCTGCATTGTCTTCACTGCCGCTGTCGTTAATCCTTGCCCTGTTTCATATCTGCAGACATTAAATGACATTTTAGTCCACAGATTTCCTTGCAGTTGTTCGTAGCCACAAATTCTTCCACACAGTGACAGACAGCTTCAGAAGTAAACTCTGTTAATAGTCACGTCCATACTTAGCCACACCTATTTGTTGTTATTTAAGTAACTTCAGCATGAAAGTTGCATTCATCAACCTATTGTGTGTGAGATCTTTGCAGAGTGCTGGTACCCTGCACGGTAACTGTTCCTACGTCTGCAATTGTCTTTTTCTTAGATGAAGAATGTCATGCGAGTGCTGGAACAGCACGAAATTCAGCCATATGAGGTTGCACTAGTCCATTGGGAGAACGAAGAGATGAACTATAGGATAGGAGAGTAAGTATCTTCACACACTCTTGATATTAATAGATACCTAAAACAAACTCAAGCAAAAGCAGCTAGTAAAAATACACTTTTCCTTACTCTTGTTTCAAAAGAGTAAAATGGGGAAAGGAGAAAACAGTAAATTTAAATTGACAAATTTTGCTGAACTTCTAAACTTCCAAGTAATGGCCTTTGTGACTTGGTTACACACTAGATTTTGTAAATTGTGAAGCTCTGTGCCCACAAAACTGAAGACGTTCTTCAGCAATCCCAAACAGAAACTGTATCTCATAGAAAAAAAAAAAGGTAAATCTGCATTATTGAGACAAATCTGATTTTAAAGAGGTTTTTCTGTATAGGCTTTCCTTACTGCCATCTAGATTCATACACGAAGACATAATTCTGCAAATACTTCACTTCCTAGGGAAGTCATAACTTGAATACTATGAAACAATAAACTTTACAAGTTGTCTTGCCTTGTTAAATAATGTTTCTTCACCCTGGGGAGCAAATCATCTCTACAGAAATATTTCTCAATGTTGAATGATTATAAAAATTATCTGTAATTTCCCAACAGCACCAAAAAACAACTCCTAGACAGGACACTATAACATTAGGAGCTGAGCTAATGAGGTTGCGTTTATTTAAGGTAACCTGATAAAAGGACAGGTTTGGGGGTCTTTTTCCTGCTTATTTGAAAACTGCATGTACTATCCAGTTGTGTGATTCCGACATATTCCATTGTGTTTATGCAAGTTTCACAGTGAGATTGACATGATAAATGGAATGGCTTTTGTGCCCCCTTTTCTTTGCTCCTGGCCCCTTATGCAACAGAGGTTTCAGGGAAAGTAACCTCGTATCAGGGAGGGAGTGATGTTGATAAAAGTGACAGAAGAAAAGGGAAAACAGAAACAGAAGGATACTACAGGAGGAGGAGTAAGCAGGATGCTGGCCTCTCTCCTGCTCTCTGAGCTGTCTGTGTGTAGATAGTAATGCTGTAGTTACCATCATAGCTTGCTGCAGTTTCATTTCAACCTAGAAAACTTGGTCATAATATTAGCCTTAAACTGGAGGAACTAATTTTCAGTCATTTGTTTTAGTTACTGTCAGGTTCCACATGAGTAAAAATGCATGGTTGGGGAAGATATCCATATAGATATGGCATACTTTATATAAATAAACAGCCAGACTTTCTTGTGTTGTTGATTGTTCCTTTGCTATTGGCTTGGTCAGTGAAGATGCTTCAATCCTGTTTTACAGAGGTCAGTCAAAGCTTCATAAAGGAGAAATCTTGTTAAATTCTGAGCTGGATAGTGATGAAGTTATTCTGCAGAAATTTGCTTTTTCAAATGCCCTTTGTCTTTCTGGTAAGTTAATATTCTTTGTAATACCAGCCTATGCGACAGGTTTTGTGAAATGTCATTATAAGTGGGGCCTGTACAGTGACAGGTTGGAGAAGACCCGGCGTTTGGTTTAGGCAAACTGTGTAAAGATTGATTATGCTTCAGTGGGAGGATCAGTTTTCAAAGCTTTTTTTTTGTTTTCTAGTTTTCTGTAAATTGGAATTACCTCATTCAATGTAAATCATCTTAAAGATGAACGAAGCATATTAAGAAACATACTTTGCAAAAGAAACACATTCTACTGAGCATCCTGTCCCCCACCCTTGAGAACTATTCTAGGACAGCAACAAGTGTGGAGTCCAGTATTAGAAACCTGTTAGTAATCTTCGGTAATTCATCCTGACATCATTTCCTGGAACAGAAAAAGCTAGATGCCAGCTGAAGAAGTAATGTAGAGCGGTGATTCCCGGCTGGGGAGGCGCAGCAGTATCAGAGGTGGGGACCAGAGTCACGGATTATGGTTTCCAGGCTTATTAGCCATGGCAGGAGACAGCAGGAGGCACGGGGAAGGGTCCGGCTCAGCAGTGAGGCTGCTGCTTGAGGAAATAGACCTCTCTGCTGCTTCAGACCATGAATGAAGTCAGAAGTGATTATGCCCCTGTACTCAGCATTGGTGAGGCCACACCTGGAGTATTGTGTCCAGTTTTGGGCACCTCAATACAAGAGAGATATCGAGGTGCTGGAGCGAGTGCAGAGGAGGGCAACGAAACTAGTGAAGGGCCTAGAAGACAAATCATATGAAGAGCGGCTGAAGGAGCTGGGGCTGTTCAGTATGAGGAAGAGGAGGCTGACGGGAGACCTCATCACCCTCTACAGCTACTTGAAAGGACACTGTAGAGAGGTTGGTGCTGGTCTCTTCTCACAGGTAATTAACAATAGAACGAGAGGGAACGGCTTCAAGCTCCAACAGGGTAGGTTTAGATTGAACATTAGGAAGGAATTTTTCACTGAAAGAGTGGTCGGGCATTGGAACAGGCTGCCCAGGGAGGTGTTGGAGTCACCATCCCTGGATGTGTTTAAGGGACGTTTAGATGGGGTACTGAGGGATATGGTGTAGGGGAGGACTTTGTAGAGTAGGGTAGATGGTTGGACTCGATGATCCCGAGGGTCTCTTCCAACCTCTATGATTCTATGATTCTAAGTGGGAGTAGTAGTGAGCAGCAGTAAGGCCATCCTCGAAAAGATCTTTAAAGGAAATCTGTTCTGTCGCTCTACCCCTACTGCTTTTAGGGTAAATTACAGGATTCCTGTAGTATCTGGGGAAGTGCACCTTTAAACAGAAGGGACCTCAAGCGATATGTTTTTGAAGCGATACACCATTTGATCAAGGAGTGAGGCATAACTAAATGGTTCCTGACTGTCAAAGGGAAAGCTATAGAGGAAAAAAAAAGCATTTTGTTCTCTGTAGTTTTTGTATTCATAAAGCCACTGCATGGAAGAGTAGTTGCCACGTATCATGGAGCAAGTGATTTATTCCCAGGAGATAATTGGTACCAATTTATATCAGTGTGAGACATGTGCATTGTAAAGGAAAAGAGTTCAATAATGTTCAATAATAATAAAGGATGCAAGTAGAGTCCAAGTCGCATTTATGACACAGCAGAAACCAACCCCCATCAAATAATTGGTGACAGCTAAAATGCCTATTGGCTTTTTTTCAGGGACTAAATTAAATGTCATTTAAGTCACTGACTTAGATTAGGCCTCTGCATTCAAAAGATGAGTGTGAAAAATGCTTGGCATTGGATTTACTATCAGCGTCCTGACTGGGTGATACTGTCAAGCACTACCACAAAGAGTTCATTTTGACAATTAAATCCTCCCTAATTAATTTTTCTGAGTGAATAGGGTTAATTTTTGAACTGTTGCTACTTCATTCTTGTCCAGGAGCCTGTGACTAAAGAACAAAGGCCTGAGTTATATCATCTTCCTGTAGAAACATCTTGGCAGGCTCAAGCTGAGACACAGTAGAATTTGTGTGGCCATTGCCTGTGCTGAACAAGCTCCTACAGAAGTTCTGTCTTCAGTGAACAGTATATTCACCTAAACCCAAAAGAGCTTAAGTTTGAATTTAGCTTCCAGAAGTGCAGGGGGTGTGTCCATACAAGCCAACTCCCCGTGGTTTGAGGGTGCTGCATCTCGTACTGGACAAATGGAGAGTGACACTAGAAACGCAGTGGAGACGCTTGAGTGGCACCAGATGAAGTCACCCTGACTCCAGTGCGGCTTATTCTCCTTAGAATGGAGTTTGCAAAGCTTTGAACATACAGTAGAGCTCTTAAACACACAACTTCTGTGCTGAAGGAAAAGCTCTCCGGGATCTGAAGTGATGGCTGGGAGAAGAGAGCTGAGCTCAGGGTGGTTCTGCCTGTAGAGCTGTGTCAGTGCCCAGCCCAGATCTGTCTGTAGCTGCACGGACATTGACTGTAGAAAGTATACTATCAGTCACTTGCTGCAAATGATCTCTGTGTGTCCCAACACGTCTTGGAGCAGCGTGTTGGCAGATTTCAGGTTATGATTGTCTGAAAGCATATTTACCTCTCACAGCGTTCTGCTTTGTCACCTCTGTGTTGCAGTAAAGCTGGCTATTTGGGAATCGCTATTGGATAACTTTGTGGAATCCATCCAGTCAATTCCTGAGGTGAGGCCTTGTTTGTACCTCTCCCTTCCTTTTCTCCTGTGCTTTGTAGAGGATCAGCCCCGACACAGCTGAGGATACGGAAGAAGCATTGAATGCTTAGTACATTTGGTGGTAAAGCCATCAACGTAGAGCAGATCAGAACACCTGCAAAGCGGTGGGACAAGAAATCATCAGTCTTTAAAGGACTGGGAGTGGGGTTCTCCATGGGAATAGTGTTCCTCACGTTGTGCCACTGTCACGTGCCACGGTTGCACGTGTATCAGTAACAGGACAAGCAGCATTTAAAAACCTGGCCAAACACTGTGTGTGGCAGCTTGGGCTGAAAGTAATGTGCTTTAACTTGAATATTCTACTGAAGAGTTTGAGTGAATCACTTAAACCACAGTTTTTCATGAGACTTAATTAAAGTACAAGGCCTGTATATAAAAACATAATTTTTATTAATTTTTTTAATGAAGGAAATAAATGGTAACACATTGCTTGTTGTAGAGAAGCTGTCTATAAAAAGTCGAAGCAAGGTAAAAGAACACTGTCGTGACTTAACAATAGTCGGAAGAAAAGACAAACCATCTCTTGTTCAGGAAATCATTCATAGCAATGCTCCAGGATTTTGCATAGATACTGATGATGACTCAGTGATTTATTGAAAAACCTGGATGAACAGTTGCACGGTGATACTCTGACAAAGCTAGATAAGCAAGGCACTAAGCAAACAAACCCCAAATGTTTATAAGTATGACAAGCGTTCAGATTTTAACTCATACACATATTTCAGGCTGTAAAACCCCAGGCTACTTAACTCCTAATACATTCTCCTTGATCAAGTGGTGAAAAACTTGTTACTTTGCAGATACTGAAGTCACGAAGGAAGGTGAAACTGTCTCATGCAGATGTAATGCAGAAAATTGGGGAACTCTTCGCATTAAGGTAACATTTTTTGTCTCATGCAGATGTAATGCAGAAAATTGGAGAACTCTTCGCGTTAAGGTAACTTTTTTCGGTCATACCCAAGACATTGTATTACACAGAACTTAATTTTTTAAGTTGTGCATGATACAAAGACCAGAATGCTCACTAAACAAAAGGAGCTTCCCAGTACCTTTAATTCATGTAGGAATTCAGGTTCAGCGAGCTCCTGGCACAGTCAAGGACTTCTCTGCAGATCTCTAAAGTTAAGGAAGGTGACAAGTTCAGGGGGCAGCGTTGCCATAAGGCAAAATGCATTTATGCCCCAAACTGCTACATGGTACAGTATTCTCAGAAAAGTTTCAGGAAATGTGACCAATTTTAAACCATCACTACAATTGTATTTTTATTATGAAATGAGATTCTTTTCATATTATACTTAAAATTACAGGAAAACTTGGGGTTTTTTTAACTGCTATGTAAATATTTGGTCCTATATTCACCAAAAAGAACTTTAAATTACTGTAATACCTATTCTTTTTAGACACCGCATAAACCTGAGTTCAGACCTGCTGATAACACCCGACTTCTACTGGGACAGAGAAAAACTGGAAGAGCTTTATGACAAGACTTGCCAGTTTCTCAACATTAATCGCAGAGTTAAGGTAAGTATCTTAGGAGAATTTTCCACGTTCAGATCAGCTGTCTTTGGCTCAGCAGGGTTACAGACTGCTCCACGACGGTCATACCCAAGACATTGTATTACACAGAACTTAATTTTTTAAGTTGTGCATGATACAAAGACCAGAATGCTCACTAAACAAAAGGAGCTTCCCAGTACCTTTAATTCATGTAGGAATTCAGGTTCAGCGAGCTCCTGGCACAGTCAAGGACTTCTCTGCAGATCTCTAAAGTTAAGGAAGGTGACAAGTTCAGGGGGCAGCGTTGCCATAAGGCAAAATGCATTTATGCCCCAAACTGCTACATGGTACAGTATTCTCAGAGAAGTTTCAGGAAACGTGACCAATTTTAAACCATCACTACAATTGTATTATTATGATGAAATGAGATTCTTTTCATATTATACTTAAAATTACAGGAAAACTTGGGGTTTTTTTAACTGCTATGTAAATATTTGGTCCTATATTCACCAAAAAGAACTTTAAATTACTGTAATACCTATTCTTTTTAGACACCGCATAAACCTGAGTTCAGACCTGCTGATAACACCCGACTTCTACTGGGACAGAGAAAAACTGGAAGAGCTTTATGACAAGACTTGCCAGTTTCTCAACATTAATCGCAGAGTTAAGGTAAGTATCTTAGGAGAATTTTCCACGTTCAGATCAGCTGTCTTTGGCTCAGCAGGGTTACAGACCTCTACAAGTGTCTAATTGTAGAAACTGAATAAAAAAATAATAGGATGCTCTATTATCCCCTTTTCCATGCGTTTGTAACCCACTCGCATCTTTCACCCAGTTTAGGTTACCAGCCATGCCTCACATGAATGGATTGCATATTTCCTGAGCCACTAAATTAAGCTTTAAATAGTTATAAAGAAGAGGAGATTTAATCATTGTTCTGAAATGTGTGCAAGAAAGCAAGTTAAAAAAAAAAATGAGATGTGAAGCAGTCTTCTTACTGACATGATCATTCAGGTCAGTTCGTTGAAGGGTGACATAATGCTGACTGCTGTATCAGAGTAAGAAGCTCAAAAACTACCCCTTCTGGTGGTACAGCAATCTTAAATATTTAGTTACTTTTGAGGCGTTCAAATGAGCTGCATCTTCTCTTGCTTGTGGCTGTTTTCATGAGCAGATATCACTCAGAAGCAGTGATGCTTATCAAAACTCCTGTTGCTGGTGCATGTTGCCTTACAGGACTTTCTGTTGCGGAAAAAGGGCAACACCTTTCTATTTCTTCTGTTCAGTGAGCCCTTCTGTGGATCGTGTTCCTTTATTTAGTGATCTTGTTCCATTTACGGGCTCCAGATTTCCCCTGTATTTGGAATCTCTTGCAGGTAATGAACGAAAAGCTTCAGCACTGCATGGAGCTGACAGACCTCATGCGAAACCACCTGAACGAAAAGCACGCGCTGCGCCTCGAGTGGATGATAGTCATACTCATCACCATAGAGGTTGGTGGGTTTCCCCCCCTACTATCTCACTGAAAATGCAGTAACAAGTGCAATTTATATAATTTCAGAATCAATATTATTTTATTAATGTAAATATACTATACAAGGGGCTTAGGCTTCAGTTCTTCACAAGTAACTTTTGAATTGCAGCCATACTTCTTTTTCAGATTATCTCATTTACAGTGTAAGCTGTTTTTAAGGATTATTAAATCAAGTAAGAATTCATACCAATGTGTTTGCTGTTCCACAGGTTCTGTTTGAACTTGCGAGGGTAGTTTTCTGATGACAGAAGAAACTCAGGGAGAAGAAAAATGACAAAACCAAAAAGATGGTATGGCCCAGAAAATTCCTGTCTATCATATTCTTTTGGAAAATAGTGGAATTGTGTCTGTTGATATTTCTGTACATATTATAATCAAATAAAATGTAAAAAAAAAAATAAAAAAATCAGTCCATGAACATTATTCCCAACTGCTGTACTAGTGATGTTAGAGAAGCCTTAATCTATGGATGTGCTAGTGTAAGGCTGAGCTGGTAGTGATGTTTTTGTCGGGGGAGGGAGGGATTGAGCGTTGTCTCCTTCATAAGCAAGGACAGAAGGATGGGTCCCTTCTGTGCTGACTCTGTTAATTTGGTGAAGGACTCTACTGCCTTGTCCCCTTGACAGTGGAAAAGATGCTTCATGCATCTTTCACACATCTACTTTGTGCATTTCTGGCTGATGGTGACATTTTCCCTCATTTTCCCCAGCTCCTTGCCATGACGCTGTCCCAGGCTTGGAAACAGCACGACTACTTGTTCTCCTTAAGTTACCTGGCATCATTTTAATATAGCTGGCAGGTGTATTTAATGTTATGTTCTACCCCGTCACAGAGAGGTATTTACATACTTGTATGGGAATGCATTTATTTAGAAGGTATTTATATAAAAGGGGAACTAGCTGAACTTTTAGATGAGGTTACAGGAAGCTGTAGCAAAATGAGAAACTAAAGTAAGGTTCATGAAATGTCTCTTCTATTAGACTGTCCATTTTATCCTATTACCTGATTTTTACCAGTACAAGTTGCAAGGAGTGAATTAGCATAGGGTCAGGTGTCTTAATTATCCTCTAAGGTAAAAGTTTCTGGTTTTTTGTTTTGGTGTTTGTTTTTTTTTAATCTACTCCTAGTCTACAGGTCTGTAGATTGCTGTCTCCACCACTCTCTTACAAGAGGAGGAGACTTTGTCCCCAGCAACTTCTCTTTCTAAATGTGTTTTCAGGAACTACTACACAACTGCTATTTTATCACCTTTTTCAGACCCAGGTTAGTCCAGTGTATTGCTTCAGGAACACAACCTAAGAATTTTGTTAAAAGCTCCTGAAGCATCATTAACAAGCCACAATGACTAAATTCAGGCTAGAAGTGCGGTTTTCAGGAGCTTTCTGCTCTCTCATCTCCTGAAACAGCATTTCTGAGTGTGATATTAGACTCCTTTTGAATACATCAAACACATACACGGGGAAGAGAGTAGAGTCAGGCAGAGCCAGGAGAAACATCCAACTACAGACCCATCCCTTCACCATAAGTTACATTACCAGTGCCACGGGAACCTCAAGAAGCAGCAGCAACTCTGCAGAGCAGCTCCTCAGCACTCACCTCCTGATTTACACAGACAGGGCTATTACAGAAACAGTGCATTACATCCTTTACTCAGTAGAAAAACCTACCAAGCACCACTTCCTTCCAGTAACAAGAGAATTAGGTTATATTTTAATTGCAATTTTTCTAGCAAACGTTTTTCACCCCTTTAGGCAAATAGGCTTTTTTTCCCCCATCTGAGTATAATACATCGCTCAAGAATGTAAGTTCCCATTCACCTCACATTTACCGTTTCAGTATTTCAGCTAAATGGCTAAAATGTAAATTTACAGGCCAGCTGCATCCATCAGGAAAAGTGACTTTTAACGAAGTCATTTGAGGACCCTAGATGCTGTTTAAAAGCAGAAAGTGTCAGGCTTGATTACCTCAAGTGTTCCATCTTGGGAGCTGCGTCACAGTATGAGAGGTTTTTCTTCTACCAACTGCCCGTACAGTCTCCTATGAAGTGAGAGAACCAGAGGAAATGGTCTGAAGTTGTGGCAGGGGAGGATTGGATTAGATTAGATATTAGGAAGAATTACTTTACTGAGAGAGTGGTCAGGCACTGGAACAGCCTGCCCAGGGAGATGTTGGAACCACCATCCCTGGAGGTATTTAAGAAACGTGTAGATGTGGCACTTCAGGGCATGCTCTAGTGGCCGAGACTGTAGGGGTTTTTTTGGGTGTGCATGGTTGGACTCTCTCAACTCAGAGGTCCTTTCCAACCATGACAATTCTGTGATTCTGAGTATTCTCACTATATTACATGTAGACAACCAGGACCAAGCTGGTTGAGTTGTCAAGAACCTAAGTTGAGTGTGTCAAGAACCTGACTTGAGCTTTCACCGCAGAGCCCTCCTGTGACCAGACAGCACTTGGGAAAGTCAGGGGAACTTAGGAGATCTCCTGGGGACCCTGTGCCAGTGCATGCATGGCCCACCAGGAAGAGGTTCTGTGGCAGAGGCAACACAAAACCACCTGAGCTGTGAGAACACAACCTGTTTTTCATCTGCCCCATCCACCAAACACCATCATGTAACTGGAAAAAAAACATCTTCATAGTTTGAGCCTTCACCAAAACAGGTCTATTCTAACCAGTAAGGGTCACCTAGGGGAAAAAATAAAGATGCAGTAGCAATAAACACAGACTGTGTATCCTGACTTCCAGTCCCATTTTTGAGGGGTGGCAGCTCTCTCTACAGGCTGCAGAGTCAGTCCCTGTTCTCCATCGTGTGGCTCAGCACATGAGCCCTGCAAGGCAGGGCGACCAACTGTATGTACATGACACCTCCCTGAAAAAAACTCATTATTTCTCTGCAAAAATACCGTATATTCAGTGCAGCCAGTATGTACCACCTTGGATGAGAAGGATGACGTTCTTGCCAACTTTAAGCACCTGCCTGAAACAATAATAGAAGAACACTAAAATATGTAAGAAAAAGTCTCTCCTTCCCCATCCTACCTTAGTCCTAGGAACTGAACAAATTTCAGCTCCAAGTTTCTTAAGGGAGAAACGAGACTGATACTTTGTGCCCACTAAATGAGTTTATTTACTGATAGCTCCATAACAAAGTTGTCTTGCACGAGACTGTACCAGACATAAAGACAAGACACGGATGGATGTCCTTGGTAGTGATACTGGTTGGGGGGAACCTTCTTCACTTCGTGGACCCTTCGTGTATAGACCAATTTAGAAATTGCAAGAGGCACTGGTGTACTGAGTTTGCCAGTTTACTTTTCTCAGGCACCTTCTGTAGACCAACAAGATGCTGTCCAAGGAAAGTCTACAGGCTGGAAGCTCCTGATGTGTGATGTACCACCTTCCTTCTCCAGATAGATAGAATTTAACAATCTGCCAAGAGTGTCATTATCCTTGTCTACAGACTGGTCTCTGATACTAGCATGACACTGGCCATACAGAAGTCTGAGGTACTCAGATACAGTAAGTGATACCCACGGCGTCTAAAAAACCAAAGCCATCACCCAAAACACGTGTTGTCTTGGGGGAGAAAAGCTTAACTATCTGTATTAACTATCTAGGGGTGGGGGGGAGAGCGTCCTGAAACATGTATAGCCCCAGCTGAGAAAAGAATTTTTAAGAGATTGTAATTGTGTAATTGTTTTTACAATCAGCAGGAAAGCAAAGATCTTTGTTAGCCCTATAAAATCATTTAGCTGTAGCTATGCACTGTTGGAGGTAGCCTGCTCCTCCCCATCCCCCAGGTGCCTGCCGGTGACACACTTCTTGCCATCACTTGTGTGGCTCGGTACTACACATAGACCCCAGGTGCCTGAATCTCAGAAAACTAAGCAGTTCCAGCAGTTTGGGTCCTCCGAGGTTTTTGACAGAGTTGCACAGACCTCGTTGCACTGGGGAAACAACAAAAAAGCCCCTCTCCTCACACAGATAGCATGACAACCACCCCCATTTCTGATTCTTCCTAATAAAGTTTAAGCAAGGAGGAGCATTATTTTCCTTCACTCTGTTTTGAGCTGTTGAAGGCTATGTCTAGTATCACCATTTCTCTCTGCTAGTGCTTTGCCCGTTTATGTCCATCTTCAAGCTCTGGCCATTCAATAGGTACATTTTCCAAACTGGTGAAACACGCCTACTAAACGATGGTAACCACCAAGTAGTATTGCCCCCCCCATATACTTTTTAACTTTCCTAACTAAGCTTGAGCCAATGCCAACAAACTACTTATTCAAAACTGTTTATTAAGTATCTCATGAGCTTAAAGCCACCATTTAGATGATATTACATAGTAATGTGAACAGTATCAAGGCTATTTCACTTGGAGCATCTTTCTCTACTCCATACCTCAGCTGCACAGGCTTTAAAAACGCACTCCCTACAGTTGAACCCTTTCTTCTAGGCAAAACAAACCATGCAAGTACATACATCACTGTAGCTTTGTGGTCATGCTCCACTAAAAATGTCACTCCAGCCAAGAATGCGCTGTCACGTTTGAACTTTTCCCAGTTAAAAGCGGGCAGGGCCCGTGCAACAGGCTAACGTGGGACCGAGGCAAAGCCAGAACGTCCAGAAAGGGCTAATCACAGAATCATCAGAGTTGGAAGGGACCTCTAATCTGCACTGCAGAAGCTGTGTCAGTTCAGTTATACCAACGATTCCTGAAGGAGGTCAGACTCCTAACAAGAAAAGTTATATACATGCAGCTAAACCGTTTCTTTAGATGATACACATCGTACTAGCAAAAGGATTTTTGTTAATTGTTATTATTATTACTTTTTCCCCTGGTCTGACTTGCAGCTACTCAAAGCTTTGTTCACCAGGTGTAGAAACAATTCCTAATTAACACATTGATACCAGAAAAACAGCCTACAGAATGACAGATCTATTTCTTCACTTTTTCACCTTCTACAAGAAGTGGGTTACACACACCATAGTTCTCCGTCACCTCGAGGACAGCCAGAGCTCCTCGTGAAAGCTCAGACCTGCTTGGAAGAAGTGGGTTACACACACCATAGTTCTCCACCACCTCGAGGACAGCCAGAGCTACTCACAACAACAACATGAAAGCTCAGATCTGCTTGTGGGCTGCCCACTGGCCTGTCAGGAGTGTGAGTGTGCCCCAACAGCCTCCCCACGCCAAGGAGCAGCAGAGCTGTTCCACAACTGCTGCTGGACCCGTCCGTACGTCAGGGGTTTCCCTGGGGATCACTTTCACTGCAGCCTCCCCACGCCAAGGAGCAGCAGAGCTGTTCCACAACTGCTGCTGGACCCGTCCGTACGTCAGGGGTTTCTCTGGGGATCACTTTCACTGCTTTGTGCTTCCAGTGCCCTGGGAAAGATGGGTGAGATTC